TGATACGTTCATTATGGTTGTTTTGGAAGAGGTTTTGTCTCTTTCGTTGACGATAGAGAACTTTGCGTTGAGTCTTCTAGTCATTCTAATCTCTGTCCGCAAAAACTTGATATACGTTACAGGCGTGCACAACTTAACGTATCAAAACTGGGAAACGGCAATACTATCCCACAGTGGACATAGTTGAGTCACGATCGGTACTGCAACATACGAGTCCGAAGACACCTTCCTCGTTAGTATAGTGGTGAGTATCCCCGCCTGTCACGCGGGAGACCGGGGTTCGATTCCCCGACGGGGAGGCATTACCTTTTTATTCTTAATGTTAAACGTCAGACTGTGACATCCTTGGGAACGTTCTTAATGTTTCAGGGTTTCCTTGAACAGGCTCAGGAATTAAACAATATTCAAACACATGACAGTTACTGAACTTTTCTAAACTGTAGCTTCAAAACTCTCCCTGGACAGCGCTTTGAGTGCTCAAGTAGAATAGAAAAGTGCTATAGATGAACTAATTCATCTACCATAAAACTTGATATACATTACAGGCGTGCACAATTTAACGTATCAAAACGGGGAAACGGCAATACTATCCCACTGTGGACATAGTTGCGTCATGATCGGTACGGCAACATACGAGTCCGAAGGCATCTTCCTCGTATAGTGGTGAGTATCCCCGCCTGTCACGCGGGGGGGGGCATCGCGTATGGTGTAACGGAGAAACAGCCAATTAAATGGCAGCTTTTCGGGCATTGGAAAAAATGGGTTGTTTTTTTTTTTACACTGAACTGTCTGAGCGCGGGTTCGAGTCCTGGTTGGGACAAAGGTTGTGCTACATTATCAAAAGTTAAACACCATTTTCAATTTACTTATTGTGGATAACATTTATTTTACACTTTGCTTTTTCTTATTATTTGATTATCATTTTATTTATATTATATAGTGTTATGGCCTGTGGAGCAATTTTTCTGCATTGCATACCTATACTGTTACAAAGTACATCACTCAGACTAAACTGTATCATCACAGTTTTGAGATGATACATACCAGACATATAGTCTACAATTATGCACACATCCAACTTTTAATACAAAGACTAAAGCTAAAACTATAAACTGCTAGTTTATATCTTTCATTTTCCAGCACAAACTCAGTACTGACATCATTACTTTATTCCAGTCATGCTCTTGCCTGCCTTCACCGAGCATGCTTTAAATCTGTTGCTCTTCTGCTTCTGCGTTTCAGATCCGCAGCCATGCAGCCCGCCTCCTCTCCTTTCTCCTCCTCACTGTGGTCACTCAGAACCCTGTCCCAGCCTCCACCTTCATCTTCATTACTATCAGCATGTTGACTCTTGGGTGGTGGTTGTGCAAAATCCTATCACTGCTGTGATTCTTTCTGCTATGATGGATCATTGAAGTCTTAACTGCCAAACAGTTCCATTTATTTCTGTATCTCAATAAATCATGTTCAGTTTTTCCACTCTCCTTATTGAACTGCTTTTGTAGATAAGCTTCAAGCTAGCAAGCAACAATACCTAAATCAAAAATATTATCACTAGAAATGAGAAACTGTCTGCAGCTCCAGCTGTGTGCTGCATTCATTAAAGATAACTTCAGACATCGTGTGGTTGTCAATTCTGAAACAGGCTGTACAGTCACACAGATAAAAGACAGCAGTCATGTTTCTAATAATATAAATGAAAACAGAAAGATTATGAAGATAAAAGCTGTGAGACTCCTCTAGAGAAAGGATGGCTTGTTAACATTACATGAAGTGATTTAGAAATAATATGTAAGCTTTAAGGCCAGCACTCACAACTTATTAAAACTGATTACCCGATGGTGAGCACACACAGATATATAAACATATAGGTGAACTTTAAGAAGAAAACTGTTGATACTTTTGCAGAAAACTATTTATTTACACTTTTATATTTACAATCAGTTTTTATTTATATAAACAAAAGAAACATTCACAACTAGAACAAAACTGTCTCATGTACAATATCAACTGTTTTCTTCCACCATACAGCCAGCATACAACTATACTATTAGAGGAACATCGCCAGAACACACAAAAACAAGAACAAGACAATATATAAAAGTTCACGTTCAGGCTCAGCTTTGCAGAGCAATTCATGTAAAACTATTTTACTCCAGTTCTGAAACCTTTCATTTGAAAACCTTTGTTTGCTCCTGAAGATCCTCTGGGTGTGGACCCTTCTGCTGCTGCTGGCACAGCGACTATATATGCAGAGACAGAGGACAGGGGCATATGAGATAGAAACACTCTTAGCCATTATCACTTCTGACATTTAGTAATAACGCAGTACTTACAGCTCTGTATGTGTAGTTTTACAGGTGAGATGCTCAGCATTGCATCCTCCAGGTCTTTATCCTCATCCATCCCTGTGATGGAGGCAATAATTAGACAAATATGCACTGAATTTATATTTCACGTCAACAATGTTATTAAAATATTATTAAAACAACTTACCAAGAGGTTGTTTAGTTGGGGCATTTGTAGTAGCAGGTGCAGACTGCTGCTTCTTCCACAGGTACTGCTGCAGCTTATGCATCCATGTTCCTTGACTGCAGCTCTTCCTCATGATAAAGTCTGCATAGCCGTCACCTCTGCCGTCCCAAATCTCCTTCCAGGTGCTCTTGGCTCGTGAGCCAAAGCCAACCAGCTGATCATCCTCAGAGGCTTCTGCTGCAACACTCACTCTGCTGGTCTCCTAGTCCAGAAGAGTCTTTAACTCTGTAAAGCTGAGGGTATACTGTACAAATGAATGCAAGCTCTCCTTGCCATGCCCTTCTTCCACAGAGGTCCCTGCAGCCTCTTGCTTCTGGAGATCTTTGATCAGGTACATGGTGTACCCGACATCATTCTCCAGAAGCCACCGGAAAGATTTCCCTTTATATTTTTCAAACTGCAGGATGTACTCTCCCTGCACTTCCTTCATGTCAGAGGCATCCCCTCCTCTCTGATAGATGACAGTCAGAGCATCGTCCTTCCTAACAGGTGCAGACTTGTCCTGAAGCTTGAGGTCATTTTTAATCTGTCAAGCTTCTTTTGATGGGTCCTGGAGAAGGTATCCAAGTGGCCCCTTGCGGAACGCCACAGAGATTTTCCCTGGATATGGCGCAACTTTCTTGTGCATCTTGACATGCAGTGAAAAAATAAACAATTATATTAAACAAAATTAATTCCAAACACAAACAAAGACATTTCAGGTTATAATCTTGCTGCACATTGTGGCTGGGTTTAACAGCAGGATGCAGGGGAACAATAAAGAGACACAATTTGAAAGAACATTGACAACATTTGCGATAAAAATGTTTTTTCCTCCGGGTATAACAAACTGTTCTGTCTGTAAATAAAAACCTTTCATGGTTGAATGATTATTGGCATATCTGCAAAATTTGTGATAACTGCTTAGTAGTCATGGCACATAAGAATTGCTGGTAGATTAACAACATATCTATTTAAGCTATCGTGTTTATTCATAAACGAGTGGGCATTGCTCATGTTAGTGAGATATCAAGACAGACTTTGGCATTGATAAGGTGACTGACCATTACAACATGAAAGCAATACATTTTTTTAAAGCAGGTTCAGTCATTTAGCATGTCATCTCATAACAAGCCACTTATCGGTTATTTAATTGTACCACATTATAGTAATGTCAGTGTCACAGCAGTCAGAAACCTACAAAGTTTATTTAACAGTAAAACACGTCAATGGAACACGCAATTTATTTAAGGAGCAGGTTCATTCATGATTTACTGTGCCACTTTACAATAGCGGATAAACTCCCACCGTCTTCAACTAAGCGATGGATGCTTCGTAAAAGTAATCGCAACACGCCTATTACCTGTAATATACACCTGTAAATGTATTCTGTTGGTTTACTCTTATTTTAAACGACGTTTCTTACCTTTGATCAATGAACGAGGATCGTTGAGATGTGTTGCGCGCGGTGAGTTACTTGTTCTCTCCCGAAATGTAAAAGTGCCGCCGCATCTCAAACTCACAACAGCGCCGGAAGACCGTGGTGGCCAAAAATATTCCCCGACGGGGAGGTAGTGTTAAAGGTCAGACTGTGACATCCTTGGGAACGTCCTTAATGTTTCAGGGTTTCCTTGAACAGACTCAGGAATTAAACAATATTAAAACACATGACAGTTACTGAACTTTTCTAAACTGTAGCTTAAAACTCTCCCTGGACAGCGCTTTGAGTGCTCAGGTAGAATAGAAAAGTGCTATATAAGAACGAATCTATCTACCATTTACCGAAACTGTTTCCAATTCCTTTTCTATGGGAGTGCTAAACCACTACGGATGTAATATATTTTTGTCCACTATTGTCTTCTGGCGCTGTTGTAGTTTATACGTGATACGTTCATTATGGTTGTTTTGGAAGAGGTTTTGTCTCTTTCGTTGACGGTAGAGAACTCTGCGTTGAGGCTTCTAGTCATTCTAATCTCTGTCCGCTATTATTTGCACGTAAAACTCGATATACATTACAGGCGTGCACAACTTAACGTATCAAAACGAGTCCTAAACTACTACGAATGTAATATATTCTTTGTCCACTATAGTCTTCTGGCGCTGTTGCGAGTTTATACAGTCATGTTTGGTGGTGAGTATCCCGCCTGTCACGCGGGAGACTGGGGTTCGATTCCCCGACAGGGAGGCAATACGTTTTCATTCATAATGTTAAAAGTCAGACTGTGACATCCTTGGGAAGGTCCTCAACTACTTTAATGTTTCAGGGTTTCTTTGAACAGACTCAGGAATTAAACAATATTAAAACACATGACAGTTACTGAACTTGTTTAAACTGTAGCCTCAGGTAGAATAGAAAAGTGCTATATAAGAACTAGTCC